CAAACGGTAGATCGCCAAATATCACGCATTAAATTTTTATCACAGAACCACCAACCAGTCGACCGTTACTCTTAAACTAATCGCACCACAAGAATGCGCACTGAAATGATATTTAAAAAAACACAAAAAATGCCCTTGGAAGAGGGGTATGTATGGGGGGGATCAGTATTCTCAGTTTATATTGTTATGTAGCATTTAGTAAGTTTCTAATTAATAAGTCAGTTAGTTATAGTCAGTTCAGTATGATTTAATTTTTCATCTATATTTACAACGTATTTACGGTATGAATTCGAATTCCGAAGTTATTAAGGTTTGAGCTGTCGTGATAAGTTTACAAAGTGTCACAGCCTCAAGTGGACGTGCTTAGTTTGTTCACTGATCTTGCTTTAGACTTAGCCGAAAGTTCTTGTTTTGATGAACGCAGTCAGATGTTGATTCAGTTTAACGAAAGCATCATGATTTAATACTTTGTTTTTCGGATCGAAAGTCTTGTGAAATTGTGTGGTTTAGCGTTCTAAAAACAAGTGTTTGATTTCTCAAGGTCAGCCAGCTAGCACGCCCACCCATATCTGTCAGTAGTGAATATATGAGCCTGTTCTTTACAGTTTACTTAGAAGAGAGTGGGAAGAAGAGAGAAAAAAAAATATAGAAAATAGAGAAAAGAGAAGACTAGAAGAATGTAGACAGCGTGCAAAAGAGTAGAGTCAGAATTCCGTAGTTGAAAAAGAAGTATGCAGTGAGAATCAAAGTTTGAGGGCCATGAAAATTAACCAGAGTTACTCAAAATGCTAATGTAAAAGACCATTCAATCATGCATACCTCAAGCAAGCAATAAAAACTTCTGTAAAATGACACTGCTATTCTAAATTCCAAAAGAAGATGATTACGAAGAACCGAGTAATAATAGAACGATTTATCTACTACCTATTTTATCTATCATTTTATGTTAAGACTCCCATTCAATCAAAGCGGAGATAAGGAATGGCTCTCAACTGAAAATTCATTTTACGAATGCTTCCTTACGAGCGATTGACCAGACTGTATCTATGTAAGTTATCAACCGGCAATCGGTGAGAGATACAAAACCGAGGGCTACGTGGATGACATCAAGCTACTTTTGCCTCACAAGGTTGGAGCAAAACACATCATCCATAACGATTTACATCTAAGCCGTAATTGGTCTTTAAAATTGTCTTTGCTCAACACGGAAAAGACTAAGCTTGTGGTCTTTGGCGGTCTCCCGACGAACCGCGGATTACAGGGTTCCAAGCTCTCATGCTCGGAAAGCAACTCATGATAATAATAATAATAATAATGATGATGATGATGATGATAATAGTGGTGAGAATAATATAGGAAAGGACAGATATCTGACCGATCTGATAACAAATAAACATTCAGTCAGTTAAAACCGCTACTGGCCAGAAATCATTCCATCGAAAGATAGGGAACGTAAGGAATTCATTTGAAAAAGATTCACAACTGTTTAAAGGTCCTACTAATTTTAGCAAATTAAAAAAAAGGGTTTAGCTATTTTTGAAATCAAGACTAATTGCAACATTGGAAAACCTTTTTGCGGGATTGTGCAATAAATTTTCATTCAAATCAATAATACCTGCCCTAGAGCATTGTTTTTTTCATTTCGCCGCCCAAATTTTCAATCTAAGCCTGCAGAAGGATGATAATAGCCACCTGGAAATTGTGTAGAATAAATAAAATCATCTAATTTTCTTCAATTTTATTACAGTGCTGAGGGCAAAACATATTTGGCACATCTTATAAATTTAGCGTCAACTATATCAGCAAATTAAAGGCTTATTTCTCTCCGTTTAGTTTCTTCCTAAATCTAAATCTAGATCTAAGAATATTTTCAGACGGGTGCCACTGTTCATTAAATTTATTCATTAATCATTAATTGCCTTTTAAAGAAGACGAGCGAAGTCATTTAAATAATTAAGTCTCACTCTTTGAATAAAATTCATATTAGCACCGATAGTAATTGATTTTTATTTATTTTATTTGTTTTATTTTTTTTTCAATATTATGAAGCAGCAGCAAAATTTTATTAATATTTCACTGGTCAAACGGAAATGGAAAATTTTTGTTGAACAGAAGATTATGAAGAGTGTTCACATAAGTGTCCACCTCCCTGAGGATTTTATTCTCGGAAAGTGTTCCGCACCATGAAAATTTTACATTCTATGTGTGTTCTGCTATCGTTAAACGGTATCGTGACTGCCTTTGTCACATCGCAAGGTTAGTCTCTGTAATCACTCCTCTCTGACTAAAAAAAAAAAATGTTAGGGAGTTTGATCTTCCATAATCACATCTAGCCCAAATATCTGCTAATTTTAAGAGGATGTGTCTTGTTAGTTTTTATCTTCATTATCAATACAATTTCGCTTAGCTGCATCTCGGCATGAAAATCATCATTTTGAAAACCAATTTCTTTAAACTCCTTGACCAAGTCAATTTTAGGTGAATAAATCGATGTACGGAAAGAGTCTTTTGCAACAGTAAACATAAGAAGTGACAGGTTATGCAGTGAAATTGCATGTGCTTTCAAGTTTCATCTAGTCTCTATCTGTTTTAGTATGTACTGGATTCGTCCAAGAGGAAGCTTCATATCGTGAATGTTGTCGTCTGAATGAATGCAAAGATTCATCCTTTTATTGCGCTGCTCCTCTACTGTGTCCACTGTATCGGTTGGCTTGGTAATAACCATGATCTCCGACAAAAAGTCGATTAATCTGTCATGGTTAAGTGAGAGACATAAGTTATCAACTCAACTCAATAGCTTTTGAGTAGTGTTTAGAAGTCCTACCAAGAGGTCCCTTAGCGGTGCAGTCGTTAAATAGTTCTTTTTGGGCCGAGAGTTCACCGAATTGAGCCATTATCATTGCCCAATAATTTTACAACGAGATTTAGTTTGACACCGTGAACTGGAAGTATGCTGAAATCTGAAACTTGCTACTTGACAGGCAGCTTCATTAGCTGGTTTCACTGATCTGGACTTACTCTCAGATGTAATAACTTCGCTATTCAATCCTCTTTACTTAATTTACAGCTTAAGCGTCTGGTTGAAAAAAAGCAGAACTTATTTGAACTTCTTCGAATTAGTTTGAATTTACTGGCGATGAAAAATATAATTCTTCAATGACATTACTGAGATCGGGGGGTTTGCAATCGTCAACTTCTTAATTAAAGATACTGTAGTACGTTTCTCCGCAAGATGAATGGATTGTAGCATCCAATTCTTCCTCTGGTGGCAGTATAAATCAGGGATTAATAGACGAACGACTACAAGGTTTGAATGCTTTATCGATTAAAATTCTAAAATGAATGAATGAAACATCACTAGGTCGTGATACATGGAAGTCGCTGACTGGCTCTGAGGCCTCGTTACAAGATAATTGTAACAAGGAAGGGTTCAATGCTGCGGTTAAGGATCAGTTTTCCAAAGCAAGAATTGGTATAATTGCCAATACCCAAAAAGAGTGCGAATCCTGTGATTCCAGAATTGGCTTTGGCACAGGTGGCTTTCCTGACAACTCCAACACCTGTGGAGTTGTCAGGAGAGGGTTTCCCAAATCGAATTTGCAAAATCTCGTTTCCTATCAAAAGCAACGATTTGCTCGTTCTTAGTAATAGAGAGGGACATCTTATACAAAAATAATGCAGTCAAAAGTCGCACATTAACAAAAGAAAAATAATAGCGTTTATGAAATTATCTGTAAGGACGCCAAATGATGGAACACTTAGCACTTTTCGAACAAAGTGACGTGGGAGTTCTTTAGACTAAAGATTTTATATTTTGAGCTTTCCACAGACTAAACATTACATTTCAATCTTTTTTAACAAAAAAAATAATGCAGTCAAAAGTCGTTCATGCACTCATGAATAAGATATTGGCGGAACAAATTTTAATTCCTTACCGAAACATCGAAAGGAAGACATCGGAAATAGCCCGTGTTTTGCGAAATTCACGAAAGAAAATTGATAATGTTAATGGAATTATCTGTAAGGACGCCAAATAATGGAACACTTAGCACTTTTCGAACAAAGTAATGTGGCAATTCTAAAGACTAAAGATTTTATAATTCAAGCTTTCCAAGCCTTCTCCGTTTGACAGCGAAGTTTTTGTTTATATATTTAAGTTGCGTCACGTTGCTCCTTTGCGTGGTTCAAAGTTCGCATAGGCACAGACAAATTACCTCTGTAAGATCTTTTTGAAAAAGTGCCTACCACTACCGTGAACCAAATCCAAAATCTAAAGCTGACAAATCGATTTCCTTCGTTAGTTAAATATACATATATGACGGTCTCAATAAGGGGGATGGCTTTTACGGGTAACAGTTCAAGTTTTGGTCATTTTACAGCTAATGATTTAAATTCGTCAATTATTGTGCTTAACGGCTATTTTTTTTTTTCTTCCTTCCCTTGGTAGGGCTGACGGTAAACCCCATTGACACGCTCTTGTACTCTTATACCACTTAAATGTAATATTATTATCAATCCGTTTTATTCACATTGTCCTTAGGAAGCGTTAGCGGACATAAATTCCTAGATGTATCTGTTTTTCCCCAAATTATAGAAAAATGAATAATTATATTTTCTCAACCGACAGGAACAGTCACCTTGGAAACCGAGGATAATCAAGAAACTTCACCACAGATGTCTAGTCTGCTTTCCTTGGACAAGTTTCAATATCTGAATGCTCCTAAACTTGACGAAATTATTACAAACGACGACTTTGAATGCATGTTTAGGTGCCTTCACCATCCTCTGTGTGTTTCCGTAAACCTGGTTGCCGAAGGTGAACTGCGGTGTGAGTTACTGTCACCTCATGAGAACAGCAATCCTATCGAGTACAAAGAAAATAAGAATGCGCATCATTCTCACTTTTTGGTAAGGGATTATCTTGATCTTTAACTCAAACCGATAGCTTATTTGCATCAATGAAGTCCAAATGAAGAATTTTCCTAAACTCTGTTTTACATGGTAAGCGAGGAAAATACAAATGCAAAGGGAATAATGTTACTCACAAAGAACACGAGGTCGAGCTATAAAAGGTCATAAGCTACTAAATTAATCATTCATTTTTATCCATTACATTCTAGCTAGTTCTTCAGTATTGTTCCCCATTCTGATGGCCCAATTATGATGAAACAAAACATGGGTTCAACTGTTATCATATCAAATCAAAATGATACCTGTTTATCCCTGCGTTTTAGTATCAATTTTAGAGTTTTTGTATATGGAAGGAGGGTCTCAAAAGAACCTCACATTTTCAGAATGGTGAAGGTTTATAAGATAGAAGTTAATTGCTTTAAGGGTTATGTTTATTTATTTATTTCTGCTTCAGAATGCTTGTGTAAGAAATCCCTGCAAAAACAATTCCACTTGCCGAAGCGATTTTACTGGAAAAGGTTATATCTGTTTGTGTTCAACTGGGTTCAAGGGACCGACTTGTCAAGAAGGTAAGACACGTTTTCAATACTAAAAAAAGTATACAAAAACAAACGAAAAAAAAACACACGTAGACATCACAGTTCGTGACGTATTGCTCGAAACTCCCGGGTTTAAGGTCTATATAATGTTGCAAACAAGTTTGGGTGGGCTTTTTATATCCTGGGGATGGGAGGCGCTGATGAAAAGATTAAAAAAGCCTACACGATCATGAAGTTGGAAGCTATTGCCCATGTTATCGACTAATAAAGCAAGGAAAACTTTTTTCAGATGTTGATGAGTGTGCTGAGGGATCACATAAGTGCAGTGTTGATGCTGTGTGTAACAATACCAAGGGATCTTACAAATGCATATGCAAACCAGGATACCATGGAGATGGATTGACGTGCGAGGGTAAAATTTTTAAATTTTCTCATCCTTTTTAATCCAATTTAGCCAGCATGGTAATTATCGATCAGAAACGTCTTTACAATCAAGACCGAAGGTTCTACTGTGAGAATACCACCTGCGACTTTGACAGGTGTTTCGTTCACTGCACACCACGAAGTTGCTTTTTTTTGGCTTCCCCGCTCAAGTTTATAGTATGTAATAAGTACGAGATTTAAATAAACTTATTAAGATAGCTTATCAAGCTACCAGTTTCACCCCAAAATTCTATTCAATTAGCTTACATTTGCTGAGTAAAAGTTTTTCGTCAGTTTTAAACGAAATGTTACTTGTCCTGTGTAATATGCGTATCAAGGCATCATCAGATTGGGGTGGGTATATACTGATCCAAATACACCTCAACAATACGCGAAATACCCATGTAATTCTGTACTTCTCCTTATTTTAGGTCCTTTCTCTCATTCGTGCACAGAAATTTACAAAAGTCAAAGGTACGTAAAAATCGATAATTATTTTTAGTTAAGTGTTAGGGTTGTGAAAGAAAACCCTAAAAATAAACCAAGAGGTTGCTGAACGCCTTCTCGTAAGAGTAAAATTAAAACTATACAGTAGAACCTTAACTGAACGGTCCCTTGCAGACCAAGAAATCTGGCCATTTTAAAATAAAGGTCGTTATAGAAGGTTGGTTTGACATTGCATCTATTTTTACAAAAATCAGGTCTTTTTTGTCTTTCAAAATCTTTCGTTACTACGGGAGTAAACCAAGTTTTGCCATTCAGAAGAAAATGCATTTTGCCAATATAGAACGAAGAAGCCATGTTATGTGTTTCGCTAAAATAATTAACGACAACCATGGTGTATATTCTTGTTAGCAAGATGAATCTGACAAAGTTCCCCGCACGAGCCACTTTTTACTCATTTTGCCAATTTATCAGATATCAGGTCTACGTCGGAGACCTTGAAAAGCCTTGCTACGCGATAAATATACTTTTCTATGCCAAAACGTTTCAAATACTAAACATATCTCGAACTGGAAAAAGCTGCACGGCCCTGTGTGCTATGAGAGAATTGAACAAAGGATCAAGAAGAGAGAGCGACACTAGGTCCCTATGTCATGGTATACAGCCAAAAAGCCAGTTCATAGTAACATAGTTGTTACTCCACGTAAATCAATAAATAAATGAAACAAATAATTAACACGTAGAAAAAACGACTTAGCCTCAGTTCACAGGAGAATAGAGCTTATCAACTTCTAGTGGATTATGCGAAGGTCAATGTTTACTGTCACATGACTGATGAACTTGACAGCTGCGGGGGTGGTGGATGGACTATGGTAATGAAAATGGCCGGCGAGAAGGTATCTTGCTTCTCATCACTATTAAACTTGATGCAAATGTTCTATTGAAATGGAAAAATTTAACAGGTGACCTGTTGATGAAAGGAACTATCATCAGTATGCGCGATATACTGTCCCTTAATGTATATCAAAATAATTGAGTTGATGATGGAAATTGGCCACCGACTGTAAAGAGTTTCAAAGCTTACTTAGCACCGACTGCACGGATGACACTTTCCCCTTTTCAATCTTCCTTGTAAAGGATGACATGACCAAGCTTTATCCTTCGAACATTGGCAACGTAAACCTAACGTGGAATTTCAAATTCATAAATGAATTCAGACGAATGTTTAGCCTCAATATTTATTCACCTAAAAGACTGACCCAAAAAAAGCAACCAGGAAAGCGAAAAACAACAATAATAATGATAACAGCCTTGAGGCTCAATGCCGAAGGCCTCAAATTTACGTAAACTAGACAGATCAAGTTCCCCACTCTTGCTGTAAGAACATTTCGAATCATTTTACCCGTTGTGATTCTAAAAAATTATTTCCAAATCGATTCAACCATCATTCAATTAACTTCAAATTTTCCATCTACATAGCCAAACTTCAACTATGATTCAGAACTTTGGAATAACACTGATGACTTCAATCCTAAAGGTGGGGAGACTGGGTTTGACTTAAATGAGACGAAGCTACCGACTTACTGGAAAACATCGTTCTCTAAGATTTGTCTTGGAATGAAGCTCGGCAATCTTTCAAGGTTCATTGTCATCAAAAAGGAAGCCAGCTCTTTGTACTCGCTGATCGCCGACGGACATTATCGTAAAACATCACTGGGTCGTGACACATGGAAGTCGCTGATTGGCACCGAGGCATCTTTACAATTAAATTGCAATAAGGAAGGGTTCAATGCTGTGGTTAAAGATCAGTTTTCCAAAGCAAGGATTGGTATCATTGCCAATAACCAAAAGGATTGCAAATCCTGTGATTCCAGAATTGGCTTTGGCACAGGTGGCCCTCCTGACCACTCCAACACGTGTGGGAACACTGCAAGACACGGAGGAGAAAATGGCGACAAAGACATCAAAGCCATGGGCTACATCTTGGTTCAGTGACAAGATAATCGATATAATCGCCAGGAAATGGACAAAAAGCTAACCGAAAAGTTGTAACATTAAGATGTAGCAAAAGGGGTCTGAATAAGCAATTAGACGCCGAGCACAAAATGATCTAGTTTCGTCTTTATGGGATTTCCCAAAACAAATTTCAACTTCCAATTTCTGATAAAAATTAACGTTACGCTGTTAGTCTTAGGAGGGGGGGGGGGAATGGGAGGGTTGTAGGGGGATGGGAGGACAAAAGACCTTCAGGTAATTGAAAAGATAGCGAGTCACCCACAGCTTAGTCCGCCGAGATTCATCAGACCAATGAAATATGTATAAGTAGTTAACAGCCTGGTATTGTATTGAAAAACGTATTTCATATTTAATCACAAAATTATTAGATGAAAATGTTAGTAGTGCACGTCTAGTAACCTCAGGGTTCATTTATCTTTTTCTAAAAATTTGAGGTCAGCGAATGGAATGACAGATGACCTTTGTAAAAACATATCAGTCACCAATATTACTACGATTGTTGTCGTCATTACCATACCAGTAAATAAGTAGAGAACAACAAATCTTAGCAAACCGAAGGATATTACAATAAAGCTATGGAGCATAAAACAATGGTTGATTTTGGCAATATTACATAATAGATATATATATATATATATATATATTCCAAGTAGGTTCTCTGTACATAATAAGACTTCAATACTTCGGTTTTTAGAATTTAACTCTCGGATATTTGGAGGCTTATTTCATTATTTGCTTGTTTATTTTACTTTACGATGTGACCGAGGTCGGTCACCTTACATCGTTTCGATGATACCCTACTGATCATACAAAGAGCCTAAATTCTCCGTCATGTTATAATAGATGGTTTTGCTTCATAAGATCACTCGCAACATTATCGATTCTCACCCTTTTACTTTGATGATCTTGTTTTGAAACGAAACTATTTTAAGACCATCATATATTTCATGTATAAAAAAAGGTAAAAAAAGACGAAAATGAGTAAAAGATTCTCAAGGAGCTGGTGTAAAAGTTACCTGTCTCTTAAATATTCAGTTTTGAGGCAAATGTATTTTGAGTTCTATAGACGATAAACAGTGCTCGAATTTTAACCAGCAAAAGACAAATCTATTAAAGAAAACTTTTCTTCTAGTCCAGATTCTTGCTAAATCTAAGGAAGTAAAAAAATTGACTCACATCCAAGCTTATATGGTACTATAAAAAACGATATCACGCTAGTCAGAAGACATGAGGTCTATAATTGGTCAGAAAAGAACAAGGATGTTTTGATTTTAAGATCATTCGTAAATCTCACGGGGAATCGGTCTCAGAATGCGATCCGCACCATAAAAACTTGACTGCCTCTGTTACGTCGCCAGGATATTTATTTCCATGGCCTATTTTTCAGTGGGGGATAGACGTCTTGGGAAGTTAAAGATAGGGCTGTGAAGTTTAGTTTCCAGATCAAAAAGGTGAATTGTGGTCTGGTAACATGACTGTACAAAGAAATGAGACACCAAGTCTAAAGTACTTTAGTTTCATCGTCACGCTCCAGTTTCTCGAAATTTCGTTTTCGTTCAAAAGTAGCGATTTGTTCGTTCTTAGTCCTAAGAGAGGGGAGAGGGAGGGACAGAAGCCCTGTATGTAGTTGAAAAGATAGAGATTCGTTCCAACCCTAATCTACTTAATTTCATCAAATCATAAAATATGATTAAGAAGCTACCTATTTTTCGTTTATCCAAATCCTAGTTTTGGCGAAAGAATCGCCTTTACTGTTTTGTTATCCTTCTATTTCACTGGTTGGTAGTTTACCAAGAAATGTTAACATCTATGCAGGCATTCGAATTAATTGAAAATAATTATTCCTGTAGGAAAAGTGCCAATCGTCCCGTTTATAAACTTTCTGTTGACAACAACGACAACAACCAAAAAAAAAAAAAAACGACAACAAACCAAACGACAACAACGACAACAACCAAACTTCATTTGGTGAGGTGAGTGATATTTTGTGTAATGAATACGGTTTCAGTAAAGCAATTACGATCCCAATTACATTTATTTTTCATTCTATTTAAAACACCCCATCAGTTTCGGATAAATTTCTTTCGATTCACCATCAGTTTTAAAACGAGAGACAAACTTAAAGATAACTCAATGGTTCAACCGGCAAAATTAATGTCTTAGAGTATGATATTACGGTTTAAAATTTTTCCCTTTTCTACTTCAAAGCGCCTGTGTTCAAAAGGGTTAAGACCAAACTTCATACAAATAAACGACAAATAACAAATCAAATAAAGCCCTAAAGATACTGACAACATACATTTCAACTTGTAATCCAAATTCAAGCTATTCTCTTACCGTGAGATCCAGACACGATTGGATGTCATTTCTTTACGTTGCTTAAACAAGTATATTAGAGCCGGATCAATGGATAGTTATACGATTTCCGTGATAAAACTGATATTAAGAGTCATTTTTTGCTGCCAAACTGCGAGTGGTTTTCGTGTTTCTTTAAATACTGTTTTGCTGTAATTTAAAGCGATAATATGCTAGGAGGAGTTTTTCTTTACATATTTGAGATCATCTACGATCTATTACTGAAAAGACGCGGGGCGATACTGAGTCTACTCACTAAATGGATCATACCAGGAAAAGCTTACATCCATGATTAATTAAAAGTCTTGTGTGTCGCTTCTTTAAATTAAAAGTATTTTTATGCAATGGACAAAGCAATGTTAAATGTAAATCCTTTCGATCAAATGTTGGAAACTTTTGAACATGACATTGACATTTAAAATAAGGGAAATTACTTTTCAGATGTCGATGAGTGTGCTGTGGGATTGCCTCAACACTGCAGTGCTGAGGCTGTGTGCAGCAATAGCAAGGGATCATACAGTTGTACTTGTAAACCGGGATATTCTGGAGATGGACGAACTTGTAAAGGTGTAATCATCATCCTTTTATATAGCAACTGAATAAGTGTTTGTTGTTGTTCCTTGACCCTATTAGCCGCGACCTATTGATATTGTAAGGAAGAGGTCTGTGCTGATCGTTACTAGGAATTTAGGGTTTAATCCAAACTATATTGAACTTAATTTTCGAATGCGATTGGTTATCACCAGCCCAATTTGAGCACCAATAGGACAGTGTACGCGTCATGCTTTTAATGGACAATGTACCAAGATAGTTAGAGGGACAGTTCACACGTCATGTCTGTATGAGTGGACAGAACGCGTCATGTGTACGCTCTTGTCTAGTCTCACTTTGTTAATCACTCGAATGATTATTAATGATTAATCGAGTATCAACATATATGTCATTGTTGTTAAGGGGTAATCCAGCCAATCAAAGACAGCAAGTCAATATGACTGAACCTCTTTGATTAAAGAAACCCACAAATGCAGCGCTAATGCAGTATGCAACAATACCAAGGGGTCGTACAACTGTTCGTGTAAAACGGGATACTCTAGAGATGGATGGACTTGCAAAGGTAAATGCACTCTCTTCACTTGCATTCCCCAGGCAAACAAGTAAGGATCGAAAAGTTTGGAAGTCACAAGTTTTTCCTCGTCTCTTACAAGGGTTTCAAGTGTTCTGCCAATATTCCAAATAGATTATTAAGCTCGCTCGGTAAATCGATGTAATCCTCTGCTTTTAAAGAAAAACAATGGGTTTCTCGGGTACAATTAAACGATAGGGTTTAAACCAATCAGAGCTTGCGTAGAACCTCAGGTATGAGTTGATGATGCTGATGATGACTATCATTTTCAATTTCGCTTGCCCAATGAGGTTTGAGATTAGTTTGACGATGTAAAGTTTACAATGAATAAGTTTTGGTTTTTTTTCAAATATCGATAAATGTGTTGCAGGAAAACAGAACTGCAGAGAATTTGCTTAACAATCAAGAGATTCTTCAGTTGATTATCTTTTCCTTTACTCTCATGACCTTAATGTGTGACTCAGGGGTGATGCTGAAAGGAGAAATTAGATACTAGTTACTCTCAGGGATTAAAGAGTTATTAACTTATACATTTTCATGTACATGCTCCTTGCATTTCTTGGCAACAATGACTAAGATTGTTAGGAAAGCAAACAAACAAGTGAACAGAAGACAGTGAAATGAGGGAAACTGCAAACCTTACAATGCGATAGAAAAAACACCACAGAATACTTAAGAAGGGAAAGTTGAATTGTGCTAGCTAATTTCCTCTATTGCCTTTCATGTTTTTGATCAAAAAAAATTTAATCAGTTGTAGGGTTTGCCTGCAATGTGTCAAATTGCCAGTGTGGACTTCATTCTTCTCAGATGTCGGCTGGTGAAAGATACAAACTAAAAATAGCAGTCCATAAAAAAAGTATACATCATTGAAAATAATCACTCTGAAGTGGTGGCGTGCTTGATTTGTGATATTTAGAATGACGGAAGCAAGAAAAGCACACTGAGCTTTTTCCTATTTACCAGTAAGTTAATTAGATTTTGGATTCTACATTCAAACTGGGTGAGAATAAATTTATTCATATCATGCTTCATCATGGTTTGTTTACCTGTAAAGGTAATTGTTATTATAGCTTCACAGATGTTTTTGTTGCAATCACAATTAACATTCATAACAAAGTTTCATTTAACATAGAATGTTTCAAGAACGTTCTTCTTTTCTCTTCAATACCATTTACTATTTCTGGGGCACAATTAAAGGAAGCAGGCTATTAAAAATTATAACTTTTGATTCAGATAATTATTTGAATATGTGAGTAACATTTCATGTTTTCACGTTTAACAGGATGATCAAGCTGAAGATAGCCTAAAAAAGGATTGAACTTCACTGTAAGAATTAAGTGACTAATTTGGAAACTTGAGCACTTGGTAAATACACCTTGGGTTGCAGTTCTGATGATTACAGTTTGCGAAGGTAATTGAGATGTTAGTCCCCATGCAGGAACCTTCCACATGACCTGTACAGTCATGTGCTATAAGATAACTTAAGAAAAATGCATTTGTG